GGGATGGGCCAGGATCGGCCCACTTTAATTATTATGGTAAGGTGCGGCTTTGAACTACGGCTAGTCTACATGACAAAGGACTGAGCCTTTGTTATTGTAAGGTGCGGCTTGAGACTACGGCTAGTCTACGTAACAAAGGACTGAGCCTTTGTTATGGTAAGCTGACAGTAACTCAAGAATAGTTGGTTTGTCAAAAAAGATGGTCCAAATAAGTGTAGTTAAATCTTTTTTGCATGGTTAATCACATCTTTCCAATGATTACTCAGTCTGTACCCATCATCACGGTTGAAATTATGTCTGTGTTTGTATATTTGTATGGCTTCGTGTACAAACCTTTGATGGTAGCCAGGAGGCTTGCAGAGCACCTTGGTCTCGGAAAAGACAATTTCATGAGAGCATACATTTGAAGCTTTCGTGACTGCAAGGATTCATATTCTTGGGTTTTTTCGGTAAAGTCACGTGGGTAAAAAAATTTAAATTAATAAATCGAATCTGCTGCTATTACTCCATACGAAAGAAGGGCATGTGGCTAGTTGGTGGCTAATTGGTGGCTAGCGTGTGGGACCAAGCGGCCCCTGTCCTCCCGCCCTCCCGCCCGCCCACTCACCGGCGTGCGTGCGCGAGTGCATCTTGAGGCTGGAGGGCTGCGTGAAGACGCGTCCGCAGTCGGCGCAGGGGAACGCGCGCTGGCCCGCGTGCGTGCTCTGGTGGCGCCGCAGGTTGCGCCGGCTCGGGAAGCCGCGGCCGCACTCGCCGCACACGTGCGGCCGCTCCACCGTGTGCGAGCGCTCGTGCCGGCGCAGGCTCGCCGCGTCCGGCACCGCCTTGCCGCAGTGACGGCACCGCAGCAGATGCTCGGCGCCGGCAGCAGCGGCAGCGGCGTCGTCGGCATCGCCTCCTGCTCCTGTCGCAGAGTTTTCGTATGTCGTGTGTGTACGTACGTGTGTTTACGTACGTGTATGTGTGTGTACATGTACGTGTGTTTATGTGTTTACGTGTGTTTACGTGTGTAGGTGTGTACGTGTGCGCACGTACGTGTGTGTGTACGTACGTGTGTGTACGTACGTGTGTATGTACGTGTGTGTACGTGTATGTACATGTGTGTATGTACGTGTGTGTACGTGTGGTTACGTGTGTGTATGTACGTGTGTGTGTGTATGTACGTGTGTGCATGTACGTGTGTTTACGTGTGTTTATGTGTTTACGTGTGTTTACGTGTGTTTACGTGTATGTACATGTGTGTACGTACGTGTGTGTATGTACGTGTGTATGTGTGTTTACGTGTTTACGTGTGTTTACGCATTTACGTGTGTGCATGTACGTGTGTTTACGTGTGTGTTCGTGTGTGTACGTGTGTACGTGTGTGTACGTGTGTGTATGTGTGTGTAGGTACGTGTGCGTATGTACGTGTGTGCACATACGTGTGTGTACGTGTGTATGTATGTACGTGTGTATGTACGTGTGTTTACGTGTGTGTTCGTGTATATGTACGCGTGTGTATGTACGTGTGTTTATGTGTGTGTTCATGTATATGTATGTGTGTGTACGTGTGTATGTGGGGAGCGATAGTGTAGTGGTTAGCGCGCTGCGCTACGAACCCGGCGACCCGAGTTCGATTCCCGCTCACGGCCAACACCACCAGTGACAATTATCTGAACCACCACCACAAACACCACCAATACTCGCCATTCGCCACTAAGTGACAGTGAAGTCACCACGGGGCCTGTGCCAGGCCAGGTGCACTTTAAGGCCGTGTGAAATATCGAACACTCGTTGTCATGAGCTGGTGCCATGGGTTTACTGACCGAGACGACTGGCAGATGAACCAGATGTGCCTCTTATTGTGCCAACTTGCTGTATTTTAGCCGCTTATGCCTTCCAATCACTCTCGCCCAGGTACCAGCATCATGACCCACTCGGGCATTAATCTTACCCAACAGGATGACTCTATCCCGAGGGGTCACTTTAGCTAGCACTTGGGACAGGAGGTCATAGAAGGAATCTGACTCATCGGCTTTGACTGCATCCCTCCGCTTAAGTTCATCTTCGGTACGGGCATAAGTAACCACCACCACCCCTCATCGCCTCTGCTCAATGGCAAGGCGAGCCCACAGTAGCCTGGGAGTTACAGCTTTCCACATCTCACCATTACGCTCCCACGCCCCCTTCATTCTTTTGTCCCTGCCCCGAGTAGAGGACTGTCCACCCCTCATGGTGACTGGAGCCAGAGCCGGTCCACCGGACCTCCTGAATGCCACAGAGATCCAGGCGGTACCGGTCCAGCTCCCGACAGAGGGGTGGCAGCCTCTCCTCCGCAGTGAGCGTTCGAACTTTACACAAGTGGCCACTCTCAATATCGTTTTGCAGTTTCTACAAGAACGCCAAGGACATGAGTTCAGGGTCCTGGCTCCGCCAAACAGAGTTTGGCCAGGAGACGTCACGGATGCCTGTCACCCTTGAGGCCTCCGGTACAAGCTTAGTGAGATATTCAATAAAGCGGTTTAGTGGGAAATTAAACGAAAGCGGAGGTGTCACCGGACTGGAATCAGCAGGTTACCGTCCGGAAATCACCGCAGACACCACAGACGCCACCACAGCTTCACCTTCTGGCAACAACCACCACCACCACAGCCACGACAGCCATGACAGCGTCACTGTCCAGTATCCACCACCACCACCACAGCCATGACAGCGTTACTGTCCAGTATCCACCACCACCACCACCACAATCATGACAGCGTTACTGTCCAGTATCCACCACCACCACCACAGCCATGACAGCGTCACTGTCCGGTATCCACCACAACCACCGAGGAGGTGTGGGGGGTGGGGCCTGACACTCACGTGAGTGAGCGCCTCCCGTCTCTCCGCCGCCGCCGCCGTCCTCGTCGCTCAGCTCCACCTCCACCTCGGCAGTTGCCCCGTCGGCCGCCCCCTCCGGAGACGACGGCGACGACGACGAGGCCCCCCCCCCCGCCCCCCCGGCACCCCCCGTCACGTGGTCCTCGCTCCGCGGGCTCGCTGTCGCCACGACCGCAACAACAAGACGTGGCGGCAGCAGCGGCAACTTTGATTTAGTTTTACACGTAGCAGGCTTTCGCGAGTGTAGAGGTGTATTTGTAAATGTGTATGGGCACGGATGGGTAACAAACACAAGGGGCGGGGTTATGGCCGTACGCTGAGGTGCTCACACCGACGTCCGCACCTGCATCCCCCACGGGCCCCTCCCGGGGGCCGATTGCTATAAAAGGTGGTGAGCCGGAGGGCTCGAGGTCGAGTGTATTAGCTTTAACCAGCGAAGAGTGAAGACCAGCTAGAGCAGGCCCCGGAGCTCCCCTGGCTCGCTGTCCTTGTCAGGGCCGACCAGGGCAAGCCGGTGGCGTGGCCCCGAGAGCCCAGACTGACGTTCTTATAAGAGCCGGTCTGGAGACTCGGGGTGCCGGGATCCCAGCTTGACCAGGGCTGGGATAGATAGCCTCCCTTAGCTCTGTAGTGGTGGACCTGGGAGTAGGCTAGCCGGGGTAGACGTTGGGTCTCCCTGTTAGACGGGTGAAGGGGCCGCTACCCCTTCGAGTGTTGTGTATCCCCGTCTCTGTAAATACGTTGGTGTTAATAAACACGTGTGCCTCCAACGACGTCGTCCGAGCCTCCTGCAACTAACTACACGAGCAATGTTATTCATAACAACGGCTTTTGGGTTAGATCACTGTAAGTGTAATATCAGTATTGGAGACGACTTCTGGAATCGGTCTTTTTATTGACTTAGGGTTACAATTACTCCCCGCTGCTGATAGGCAACGTGAAGTGGACAGATGGACCGAGAGAGACGCACGGACACGTGGCAACTCGGAGCCCCGCTCCCGCGTGGCCCCTTCCTCCGTTCCTCGTCTGACCCCGTGTCGTTCATCCCTATTTAATACCCGGGTCACGTGGTACGCTTGAGCCAATCCTCGGTAGCCTGCGTCGAATCTTCCAGGCTCCCTCGTCAACTCCCGGGACCACGCCCCTGACTCATCTCCCCATTGGCTGAGGCCAAAGCCAGCAGAACCAATCCTTGTAGCTGTCACCTCTCCATCACGTCAGGGCCACGCCCCCAGGCTTCCCCCCATTGGCTGTAGACCAGGACCGGCAGAGCCAATCACCACGACGAGCTGTAACACGTCAGTGAGCCGGATATAGGCTCATATTACATAAGTGTAAATGTTGTGTCGTAACCCTCCACTACCCTTGACACCAGGACCTACCGTGGAGCTGATCTGCCCTCCTACCATCGACTTGTCATCTGTAAGATGCGCCTGCCATTCTTCCACTCCGGTGGTCGGTGTACATCCAGGACCCCATTCCAACCTAAAGTGGCCTGGTCATGTAGCCCGCATGCCCAGCCACCGCATGCCTAAACAGCTTTTGTGCGGCCGGATAAAGGGGGCTAAACGGGCGCGGTACGGGCTAGAGACGAGATGGAGTGATGTGGTACAGGAGGACGTGGAGCTGAGTGGACTTGCCGATGACTGGTACCAGCGGTGTCAAGATCGGCCTCAGTGGAGGAGGCTCGTGAAGGACGCTACTGGGCAGTTGGAGGCAGTCGCCCTCCAGCAACAAAGGGGGGCAGAGGAGCGACGCTCACAACAACGAGCGGAACGCCGGGTGGCTAAAACACAGAGAGTTGGCACAGTAGGGGGCACAGGTGGTGCATCGGCCAGTCATCTCAGTCAGTCGGCCCGTGGCACCTGCTGGGTCTGCCCCGTGACCTCCTGCCAGCGGGCGTTCGACACTTCACGTGGCCTCAATGTGCACATGGCCTGGCACAAGCGTCGTGGTGACGTCACCGCCGCTTAGTGGCGAATGGCGGTTGTTGTTTTGGCTGTGTGGGTGTGTGTGTGGGTGTGTGTGTGGGTGACGCGAGGCCGTACCGTTTGCAGAGTCTTCCTGCTTCACCTTCACCTGAGGCCAGACCTCATGGCCAGGCTCCTCCTCCCCATCCTCCCCCTCCTCCCCCCCCTCCCCCTCCTCCTCCCCCTCCTCCTCCCCCTCCTCCTCGTGCTCACGCTTCAGCGACAGTGCCACCGCGTCAGGCCTGAAGCCTGCTCACGGGAACACGAGCGAGGGAGGAAACCAACACTATTAACTATTTTGTTATGTTGATGTAAAGCTTTCATGACTGCAGGGATTCATATTCTTGGTTGTTTCGGTAAAGTCACGTAGAAGAGTAATAATAAAAAATAAAACAATACAATTCTCACGACGTTTCAACTGCAACACAAGCAATCATCATCAGGTGTGAAATCCACAGCAAGAAAATTTGAAAATTAAAAAATTAGAAGGTGTGAAATTTTCTTTCTGTGGATTTCACACCTGATGATGATTGCTTGTGTTGCAGTCGAAACGTCCTGAGAATTGTATTGTTTTATATTTGTATTGCTTTATTATTTCCCTTCTACGTGACTTTACCGAAAGAACCAAGAATAACTATTTTGTTATCGTTACCAGGTGTAAGCCCCCACTGAGCTATGTAGCTATTTATCAGAAGTGTGCCGGCTGTCACAAATGAGAGATCCGTCGACAATTTTGATATTTTTGGGCTACCCACGATTTCGAATTACCAGCTGCCGTCCTCCCCATCATCGGCGCCGATAATGTAGAGTCCTACGATAATGTAGAGTCCTACTGCAGTCTAAAGTGCAAACTCCGTATACACCGGCAGGGTCTGGATCGAAAACCCACGACCTCCTGCACACCGGGCGAGGGAGACGACATCTGGGGGGGGGGGGGGGGGGGGGTGAGGGGCCCATCGCTCACCGTCCACCACCTCACGCTTCACGATGACGCCCGGCCACGGCCGCTCGGAGGCCTCCCGCTTGAGCAGCGTGGCCCGCGGGGCCGAGAGAGACGGGGGCCCTCCAGAGACCGCCTGCGACCCTGCGGCCTCCATCTCTACGTGGGGGGAGGGGGGGGTCAGGGGTCATTGTTCAGTGTCCCTACGTGGTGGGGTGCTTGTAGACAGTGACACACAGACAGGTCTCTGATGGGGTCTCTCTATACAGTGACAGACAGTGGTCTCTGATTGGGTGTCTATACAATGACAGACAGGTCTCTGATGGAGTCTCTACACAGTGACAGACAGAGTTGTCTCTGATGGAGTCTCTACACAGTGACACACAGACTGAGTTGTCTCTGATGGGTTTCTGATGGGTGTCTATACAATGACAGACAGACTGGTTTCTGGAGTCTCTACACAGTGACAGACTGAGTTGTCTCTGATGGAGTCTCTACACAGTGACAGACAGACTGAGTGGTCTCTGATGGAGTCTCTACACAGTGACAGACTGAGTGGTCTCCGATGGAGTCTCTACACAGTGACAGACAGACTGAGTGGTCTCTGATGGAGTCTCTACACAGTGACAGACAGACTGAGTGGTCTCTGATGGAGTCTCTACACAGTGACAGACTGAGTGGTCTCCGATGGAGTCTCTACACAGTGACAGACAGACTGAGTGGTCTCTGATGGAGTCTCTACACAGTGACAGACAGACTGAGTGGTCTCCGATGGAGTCTCTACACAGTGACAGACAGACTGAGTGGTCTCTGATGGAGTCTCTACACAGTGACAGACATACTGAGTGGTCTCTGATGGAGTCTCTACACAGTGACAGACAGACTGAGTGGTCTCTGATGGGGGTCTCTAGGCAGTGACACACAGACCCAGTCTCCGTCTATTGGAATGTTATGATTGCAATCATTAATCCTTGAATTGTTAATTGTCAATCGTAATTATAAGACATTGCTATATAACCCTAGCTAAACTATGGATTAAAATGCAAATTCTCCGTGTGTGTGTGTGTGGCCAACACCAGTGACGATTATCTTAACCGGTCATGGACCTCCCCTAGGTCGACTCAGCCTGAAATGAGTACCCGGCGTGGTGTGTAGTAAACATCGCCACTGGGGAGACAAAGGCGGCCGGGCGTGGTGCTGGCCACGCGTGTGCCGTGCCGGCCTTTATAGGTGCTCGCCAACAGCACTTCCTGCCCCCAGTCTGGCCCGACTCTACGGGGAGGGCATCTTTGTGCGTGTTGCCGTGTCCACCAGAACGGGTCTCGTGGAGGGGAGAATGGGTCAAGCCTTGAGCGGCAGGTGCTGCAAGTCAACCGCTACGGGGGTCAGACAACTCCCCCCCCCTACCCCCCTAATTATTGTAATTATCATCACCACCATCATCACCACCATCATCACCACCACTGAACGCCAACACACACACACATCTCTTTGCATTGAACTGGCTGGCACTGCTTTTAGAAAGGCTGCACAGTTGTTCTGCTCTCGCCACTGCGAAGACATTCAGATTCCTTTACAACAAACCACAACCACCGCCACACACACAGCTCCCCTGCAAACGTGGCGAGTTTAAAAAAAAAACCCACCACACACACACACGCCAGCCTTTCACTGCGAGACACTTGATAACGAGAGCTGGCTGAATCCCACTCACTCAGGCCCCGCTCTCTCTCTCGGCAGGCTGATTGCTGCTGCTACACTGAAGACAAAAACGTCGTGGGGGCTTAGAACGCTAGAAATGTGGCCGCTTCGTGCGGTAGGAATTTCAACCCAGAGGGGTGATTCTAGAGGAGGCGGGGGGAGGTAGAGGGGGTAGAGGGAGGGAGTTTTCATCCTTTTCTCATCGACTAAAATAAAATCTCGATTTAAAGCTTTCGTGACTGCAGGGATTCATCTCCTTGGTTCTTTCGATAAAGTCGTCACGTAGAATGGAAATAATAAAATAATTCTCACATTCAGACGCTGTCTTCTCGACAGACCTGTTCTCCACCTGAGGACGGCTGCTTGCGTTGGGGCCGAAACGTCGTGAGAATTCTTTTATTATGTTTCATTTTTATTATTTTATTATTTCCATTCTACGTGACGACTTTACAGAAAGAACCAAGATAAAAAAAATCATTCTCACCAAATCCACGTAGGCGAACAGCGCCCCCAACAACCACCTTTCTGTACTGCCTCTCCGCCAGGTCAGAGGGCCCCCAGCCGACAGCCCAAACCCAGCCCGGCAGCCCAAACCCAGCCTGGCAGCCCGCGACAGCGGACACCGAAACCCCCGAGCAGTGAGCCCGAGCCAGCAGCAGCAGGAGGAGTGGGGGTGGGATGAGGGGAGGGCCTGGGTCTCCTGGGCCTCCTCCTCCCGTCCCGTCGCGCCGCGCACCGATTCGTTTGCGGCGAATAGCGAACGAATCCACCGGCGGATATTGAAGTCGTCGCGGTCTTCCCGTGCGGAAGGCGACGGAGGCGCTCGCTGACGATTTGCATCCGTGGGAAGGCGGCCGATCGGCTGCTAAATGGGACAACAACAACCCGCGCCGAACGGGCAGCAAACGATTTGGAGCAAAAATGTTTTTTTGTCTGGGGCGGGGGGGGGGCGGTTGGAGGGGCGGGGCGGGGGGGCGGTGGGGGTCTCCAAAAACCGCGAGGATGGGTGGGGCCCCGGAACGTGGCTACCCAGGCCAAGGGTAGGGGCTGGGTGGGGGCGGGGCTACCCAGGCGAGGGTGGGGGCTGGGTGGGGGCGGGGCTACCCAGGCGAGGGTGGGGGCTGGGTGGGGGCGGGGCTACCCAGGCGAGGGGTGGGGGTCTGGATGCTGCGGAAGCTTGCGCACTTGAACAGTTACACAGAGTCCCATAGAGTTACAGAGACCCATAGAGTTACACAGAGACCCATAGAGACCCATAGAGTTAAACAGAGTTACACAGAGTCCCATAGAGTTACACAGAGTTACACAGAGACCCATAGAGTTACACAGAGTTACACAGAGACCCATAGAGTTACACAGAGTTACACAGAGACCCATAGAGTTACATAGAGTCCCATAGAGTTACAGAGACCCATAGAGTTACACAGAGTTACACAGAGACCCATAGAGTTACACAGAGTCCCATAGAGTTACAGAGACCCATAGAGTTACACAGAGACCCATAGAGACCCATAGAGTTAAACAGAGTTACACAGAGACCCATAGAGTTACACAGAGTTACACAGAGACCCATAGAGTTACACAGAGTTACACAGAGACCCATAGAGTTACACAGAGTTACACAGAGACCCATAGAGTTACACAGAGTCCCATAGAGTTACAGAGACCCATAGAGTTACACAGAGACCCATAGAGACCCATAGAGTTAAACAGAGTTACACAGAGACCCATAGAGTTACACAGAGTTACACAGATACCCATAGAGTTACACAGAGTTACACAGTCCCATAGAGTTACACAGAGTTACACAGAGACCCATAGAGTTACACAGAGACCCATAGAGTTACACAGAGACCCATAGAGTTACACAGAGACCCATAGAGTTACACAGAGACCCATAGAGTTACAGAGACTCATAGAGTTACACAGAGACCCATAGAGTTACACAGAGACCCATAGAGTTACACAGAGACCCATAGAGTTACAGAGACTCATAGAGTTACACAGAGACCCATAGAGTTACAGAGACTCATAGAGTTACACAGAGACCCATAGAGTTACACAGAGTTACACAGAGTCCCATAGAGTTACACAGAGTCCCATAGAGTTACACAGAGACCCATAGAGTTACATAGAGACTCATAGAGTTACACAGAGTTACACAGAGTCCCATAGAGTTACACAGAGTCCCATAGAGTTACACAGAGACCCATAGAGTTACACAGAGACCCATAGAGTTACACAGAGATCCATAGAGTTACACAGAGACCCATAGAGTTACACAGAGATCCATAGAGTTACACAGAGATCCATAGAGTTACACAGAGTTACACAGAGACCCATAGAGTTACACAGAGACCCATAGAGTTACATAGAGACCCATAGAGTTACACAGAGACCCATAGAGTTACACAGAGACCCATAGAGTTACACAGAGACCCATAGAGTTACACAGAGACCCATAGAGTTACACAGAGACCCATAGAGTTACACAGAGACCCAGAGTTACACAGAGACCCATAGAGTTACACAGAGACCCATAGAGTCACATAGAGACCCATAGATATACACAGAGACCCCTAGAGTTACACAGAGACACACAGAGTCACACAGACCCATTGGGTTACACAGAGACCCATAGAGTTACACAGAGACCCATAGAGACACACAAAGACCCATAGAGATACATAGAGACCCATAGAGTTACATAGAGACCCATAGAGTTACACAGAGACCCACAGAGTTACACAGAGACCCATAGAGTTACACAGAGACCCATAGAGTTACATAGAGACACATAGAGTTACACAGAGACCCATAGAGTTACACAGAGACCCATAGAGTTACACAGAGACCCATAGAGTTACACAGAGATCCGTAGAGATCCATAGTTGCATAGTGAGTTACATCTCGGGCGTTATAGGTACATACACTCATAGAGTTACATAGATACGCATAGAGTTAGTTCCATGGAGATCCATAGCGTTACATCGACAGCCGTAGGATCACGCAGAGATCGATAGAGTTTCATGGATTATCTACAGAGTTACAAAGAGATCTATCGAGGTACGTAATAAGTATAACCCGTAAAAACAAAGTTTTTCACTATAAATCCTTTATATGCGTGGCGGCTAGAGTCCTCTCGTCCTCTGGCTTGAGATGGCTGCCACCTATGGGTCAGATGAATGCATTGCGCCATTAAGCAATTGGTAATTAAATATAATATTTTTGTCCTAAAAAGTGTAAAATTTTGGAAAAAAATTTTCACGAACATTAATTGTCACGCACAACGAGTCTGTGTGGAAAATGTCAGCTCGATTGGATCACGGGAAGTGGGTTAAAAAACGACCGAAAGATTTGCACGGTCCTAAGCAAGCAAGCGAACTTAATATAAAGGATTTAAAAATAAGAATCCATAGGGTGCAACGGAGATCAATACAGTGGTAAATGGGGTTAGAGAAATCCACAGAGTTACATAGAGATTCAAAAAGTTTATTTTCATAGCCATAGAGTTACATCAGGAGGCATGTAGTTATTTAGAGATGCACAAAGTTACACAAAGATATACAGCGTTGCATAGAGATCCATAGTTACAGAAAGATTCACAGTTCAGAGTCAGAATCTTTATACTGGTAGGAACCTCTGGTTACACCAGCCCACAGGGGATTATTGTGTCCGTCGTGCAGGGAGGGGCTGGGTGGGGAGAGTGGGGAGGGGCTAGGTGGGGAGGGTGGGGCTGGGTGGGGGGTGGGAGGGGTGGGGCTGGGTGGGGAGGGGCTGGTCACCCCGTGGTGCCCTTATAAAACTCAACGTTTAACCTACTCACGCCGGCTTGTGCCCGCCCTCACAGTCGGGCATATTTGCGGAATACACCACGCCGCCGTTGACCCTGCAGGCCATTGACCGAGCAACCCGACGTTCCTACCAGCTCCCTCCGCAGCAGGACAATATGTCTAAGGAACGAAACAGGTGGACTTCTCCACAAATCTGGCTGTCGCCTGATGAAGCTAGTTGTAATTACTGGCGAAGCGTCGTACTCAGATTGTAAATGTTGTGGCTTGGCTCTCCAACACGCCGGTGTGTTGTACTAGTAACGAATTGGCCACGTTCTGTTTACATTTTGCTGTGTTGGTGTGGTGGTGGGTTTAACGCAAGGAATGTGTCTTAGACTGCAGGAGGAATCCGATGAGCCTTGAAACTCCTTTCCACAGATGTCCAGCATGGAAGACTGTCCACCCCCTCGCAGTCAGCCCACCAGGCATTGGTTCAGTGCAGCTCAAAGACTCGGTCGCCGAGCTCGGCATTTAAGGGCCTCAAGACCGGAATGGGTGATCTTGCCGACAATGTGTCCATCGGGGAGGCAGCTCCACATCCGGACAGCAGAGTGAAGAGGAAGAAGGGGGAGCTTTAGTCCAGGGAGCAATAAACTGTGGTAACTGTGGCGGCCTTCAGACAGCCGCACGCAGTATTTGGCGAAAGGTGGTTTAACGGCCATTGATATTTGCGTCTGATGTTAAACGAGGGGGGCAATTTTTTGACGTAAAAAGGGGGGGGGGGGGTGGGTGGCGGGCGCGGGAGGGGCACATTCCGCTCCGCTCGTCACTTCAGGCCTGTGGCGGCACGTATTCGCGACGCGGGCGAACGCACGTGCCGATGTTTTCCCACAGGCAGCCATTGGTTGTGCACGAATCGTCATCGATCTCACGCTGGGTTTCCGGCTTGCAGCATGAACGCTTCCTTATGGCGTGCGCCACGAACGGTGCAGATGCCAATAGCACCAATACCAATGGCACAAATGGCACAAACCAGAGAGCGACGTGCGATCGTGGTTCATGTTTAGAGGTGGTCTCATTTGATGGATATGAAATCTGCACGCGTCCTGGCATTGTAGGCGTCTCTGCTGCAGCTGTGAACACAGGAAGATGAACACCAGGCTTGTGTCAGTGTACGCGCACGTCTAAAAGACAAAGATACCCCGTGTAGCCTTAACAGACTTTGGGTAAATGCTGTTAGCGAGCACCTATGAAGGCCGGAATGGCACGCGATAGGGTGGGTGGCCAGCACCACGCCCGACCACCTTTGTCTCCCCAGTGGCGATGTTTACACACCGCACCAGGTACTCATTTGAGGCTGAGTCGACCTCGGGGAGGCTCAGATAATCGTCACCGGTGGTGGTGTTGGCCGCAAGCGGGAATCCAACTGGGGTCTCTGCCCGGCTCGTAGCGTAGCGCTCACCGCTATCACTACCGCTCCCCACACAGATTGACACACACACACAATGACACACACACACACAATGACACTCACTCACACACACATTAAATTTTGATTTAAAGCTTTCGTGACTGCAGGGATTCATCTTCTTGGTTCTTTCGGTAAAGTCACGTAGAATGGAAATAATAAAATAATAAAATTTTAACATAATAAAATAATTCTCACGACATTTCGGCCACAACGCAAGCAGCCATCCTCAGGTGAAGAACAGGTCTGTCGGAAAAACAGAGTCTGAATGACCAGGACGTGTCATTCAGACGCTGTCTACTCGACAGACCTGTTCTTCACCTGAGGACGACTGCTTGCGTTGTGGCCGAAATGTCGTGAGAATTATTTTATTATGTTAAATTTTTATTATTTTATTATTTCCATTCTACGTGACTTTACCGAAAGAACCAAGAAGACACACACACATTGACACACACACACACACAAATGACACTCACACACATAATGACACTCACACACACACATTGACACACACAATGATACTCACACACAAATTGACACACACACAAATTGACACACACACACATTAACACACACACACAATGATACTCACACACACAATGACACACACACACAATGACACACACACACACACAATGACACACACACACACAATGACACACACACACACACAATGACACACACACACACAATGACACACACACACAATGACACACACACACACAATGACACACACACACACAATGACACACACACACACAATGACACACACACACACACACACAATGACACTCACACACACAATGACACACACACACACAATGACACACACACACACAATGACACACACACACAATGACACACACACACAATGACACACACACACAATGACACACACACACACAATGACACACACACACAATGACACACACACACAATGACACTCACACACACAATGGCACTCACACACACAATGACACACACACACAATGACACACACACACAATGACACTCACACACAATGACACACACACAAAATGACACTCACACACAATGACACACACACACAATGACACACACACACAATGACACACACACACAATGACACACACACAATGACACACACACACACACACCTGTAAAGTTGGCGATGATGCAGGTGTTTTTGTTGCCGTTCGGGCCTTGAGCCTCCACCGAGTAAACTCCGTCCTCCGGGCTCCGTCGCCACAACAACTTGCCGCTTGGCACAGCCCAGTCCCAGTCGACGATTTCCAACGAGGTGTTGATCTCGTACGACACGTTGGACGTTTTACCCGAAGTCCGATATTTCACCTGCATGGCGGCAATGGGAGGAAACGCGTCCGCACGCACAACGGAGACACCTGTGATGTCCTGTGCTCAATCAATGTTTCCGTCGCCATGGAAAAGCAATACGAGCAGTCCCGGGTTAAGGGTTAGGTTCCCCAGAACGATCCGTGACCCCAGGCTTTCCGTGTGTCGGGAAATGAACAATTCCCCCCCCCCCAAATCAACTATAAAATCAATGATAAAATCAATTTAGAAAATCCCATTGCCGGAAATAGTTGTAGCCTCCACTACCATTTTCTCCCAGTGCCGTATCACGCTGACACCCGTTTTCTGTCGTTGCCTGCATCGTATCGCCGTTCATACGTCCTGCACTTCCCACGATTATTTAATTTCATCAAGCTACCCCCATTATTAAACTAGGAGAGAGACAGAGAGACGGAGAGAGACAAGGAGACAGACAGAGAGAAACAAGGAGAGACAGAGACACAGAAAGAGACAGAGACAGACAGACACAGACAGAGAGAGACAGAGAGAGACTGAGATAGATAGAGAGACAGATAGAGAGACAGAGACAGAGAGAGAGACAGACAGAGAGAGACAGACAGACAGAGACAGAGAGAAAGACAGAGAGAAAGACAGAGAGACAGACAGAGAGAGACAAACAGAGAGACAGAGAGAGACAGACAGAGAGAAAGACAGAGAGACAGAGAGAGATAGACAGAGAGAGACAGAGAGAGACAGACAGACAGAGAGACAGAGAGAGACAGACAGAGAGAGAGACAGGCAGAGAGAGACAGACAGAGAGAGACAGGCAGAGAGAGACAGAGAGAGACAGACAGAGAGAAAGACAGATAGACAGAGAGAGCCAGGAGGAGCGGAGTACGGATGCTGGATCAGCATCTCCCAGACGGCCCAATGCAACCCCCCCCCCCACCCCGTTTGTGCGACTTACCAGCAATTTGTCGCCTATGTAGACAAGGATCAAGTTCGTCTCGTCGTTGGGACAGCTCCACTTGATGCCATCAACTTGTCCTTGAAGATGTCGCAACGACGAAGGTTCGATGGCTTTGCCAGCCGTGTCGCCAACTGGAAAGATATTTCATGAGGAATGTTTTTTTATTTAAAAGATGTCACCGACATGATCATCGAGAGCCACGATCTTTTATCCACTGGTGGATCAAGGCCTTGCCAACACTCACAGAAACTACACGAAATAATATTGTTATTTATTCATTAACCACAAGTACCACGTGTGTGTGTGTGTGTGTGGTTAATGCAGACCATGACGATGCCCTGCAATAGGGTGTGGGTGGATGTGTGTGTCTATTTGGCTGGGTCATGTAGCCCGCATGCCCAGCTACCGCATGCCCAGCTACCGCATGCCCAGCTACCGCATGCCCAAGCAACTTGTTCGGCCACAGAGGGATACAAACGGGCAGGACATGGGCTGGAGAAGAGATGGAGTGATGTGGTACAGGAGGACGTGGAGCTGAGTGGACTTGCTGATGACTGGAACCAGCGTTGTCAAGATCGGCCTCTGTGGAAGAGGCTCTTGAAGCATGCTACTAGAAAGTTGGAGGCAGTCACCCTCCAGCCACAATGGAGGGCAGAGCATTGAAGCTCACAACGAGTGGAGCGCTGGGCGACTAAAATACAGCAAGTTGGCACAGCAGGGGTACAGGTGGTGCATCTACCGATCATCTGTCGGACAAACCAGGGCACCTGCGTTTGTCCCGTGACCTCCTGTCAGCGAGCCTTCGACACTTCGCGTGGCCTCAAAGTGCACCTGACCTGGCACAAGCGTGCTGTGGTGATGTCACTGTCACTTAGTGGCGAATAGCTAGGTATTGGTGGTTTGAATTTTTCGATTTAAAGCTTTCGTGACTGCAGGTGCTGGTGGTGGTTATTCTTAGGTTTTTTCGGTAAAGTCACGTGTCTCTGTGTGGCGAGTCTGTGGGTCTCTACGTGGTTAGTTTGTGGGTCTCTGTGTGTGCTGTTTTACTTGCCAAGCTGGAAGAAGAGAATCAGGAGGAGAAAAATCTTCAGATAGCCCTAAACATGGCACAGGGTAAACAGAATGCACAATTTTTCGACCATTTATAACTCGTACACGTCGATTGTTTAATGTTCATTGTGATGCCACCAGTTTGATGTCGTTATCAGACGAAGACCTTTACGTGCATAATTTTCGCAGCGGTAATTTCAACTCGTAATGCGCACCACACGTCCGCTGGTGTCCTTGAACCTGGCACCTCCGGTTAGCGCGGTTGGCTACTGTGGCGGCGTTTGCACAAAGTCCCTCCGCTCGGGGGGCGCCCCGGTGACGTTATGCTCCTCACCTGGAGATGCGCACGAGGTCGTGGCTTCGATCTCGGACCCTTACGGAGGACGCGCGATTTCTCCACCCGCGGTGGCCGCGTGGATTTTTCTCCGAGCACTCCGGTTTTGACCTCCACCTTTAAAAGAAACACCACGCGCTCATATAATTTTGCGTAGGTGGGGGGAAGGTGGGTGGGTGGATGGATGGGTAGAGGGTGGGTGGGGAGGTGGGTGAATCGGTGGGTGGATGAATGGGTGGGTGGATGGGTGGGTGGGTGGATGGGTGGGTGGATGAATGGGTGGATGGATGGATGGGTAGAGGGTGGGTGGGAAGGTGGGTGAATGGGTGGGTGGATAAATGGGTGGGTGGGTGAGTGGGTGGATGGGTGGGTGGATGAATGGGTGGATGGAGGGTGAGTGAGTGAATGGATGGAGGGTGGGTGAATGGGTAGAGGGTGGGTAGGTAGGTGGATGGGGAGGTGGGTGGGTGTATGGGCAGGTGAATAGGTGGATGGGTGGGTTGGTGAATGGATGAATGGGTGGAGGGTGGGTGGGTGGGTGGATGAATGGGTGGATGGGTGGATGGCTGAATGGATGAATGAATGGAGGGTGGGTGAAGGATGGGGGTGGGTGGGTGGGTGAATGGGTGGGTGGGTGAAGGATGGGAGTGGATGGGTGGGTGGGTTAGTGGATGGGTGGGTGGGTGGTGTCCCGTTCACCACCGAATTTCAGAACGTGCAAAGCGGCTCGTCATTAATTTTATTAAGAGAGGCGGCGGCGGCAGCAGCAGCAGCGACGCCGTTGGTTTCATTTTTAAAAGGCGTTGGTACTCTCCGTACGCGTACGTAACATAGATAATCGGAACTGAACCCGAAGCAAAAGTCCGTGCGTAGGAGAGGGCGTGTGGCACAGATTTCGGCGCTGGCTATCGCAGTGGCGGCGGTCGTGTTGCTATGGTTCTCTGCGGCGAGGAACTAAATTCAAAGGTGCTGCTACTGCTGCTGCTACTGCTGCTGCTGCTACGCCTATCTCTAAATAGAATAAACGATGAGCCGCTGGTGACGTACGTGTACGCCATCGGAACGGGAAAGGGTTAACACAGAGCTCAAAAAGCGAGGAATCACCGCGATCCAGTATGGCAGCGTTACCGTCACAACCTGTTACAGTATCAACGCGTATACCACAAATACCACGTGTGTGTGTGGTTAATGCAGACCATGATGATGTCCTGCCATAGGGTGTGGGTGTGTGTGTCTATTTGGCTGGGTCATGTAGCCCGCATGCCCAGCTACCGCATGCCCAAGCAACTTTTGTTTGGCCACAGAGGGATATAAACGGCAACGACATTGGCAGGAGAAGAGATGGACTGATGCGGGAGGATGTGGAGCTGAGTGGAACTCTGTGGAGGAGGCTCGTGAAGGACGCTGCTACTGGGCAGTTGGAGGCAGTCGCCCTCCAGCAACAACAGAGGACAGAGGAGCGAGGCTCACAACAACGAGCGGAGCACCGGGCAGCTAAATTGCAGCAAGTTGGCACAGCAGGGGTACAGGTGGTGCATCTACCGATCATCTGTTGGACAATCCAGGGCAGCTGCGTTTGTCCCGTGACCTCCTGTCAGCGAGCCTTCGACACTTGACGTGGCCTCAAAGTGCACCTGGCCTGGCACAGGCGCTGTGGTGACGCCTCTGTTAGTTTAACACGTAGCAGGCTTTCGCGACCAATATTATTCATAATCAACGTTTTTGGGTTTAGATCGCGTTATTTATAAATGTGTCGTAACCCTCCACCACCCGACACGGCCAATCAGTAAAAAAGTGTCACGTTGACAAAGACAAATAGTTCACTGCTTTAGCCCACCGGTGTGTTGAAGCGTGAAACCACCACAACATTTACAAAAAAAAATGTGTGGTTTCACGCTTCAACACACCAGTGGGCTAAAGCAGTGAACTATTTGTCTTTTGTCAACGTGACACTTTTTTACTGATTGGCCGTGTCGGGTGGTGGAGGGTTACGACACATTTATAAATAACGCGATCTAAACCCAAAAACGCCTCTGTTACATAGTGGTGAATGGCGGGTATTGGTGTTGGTCTATTTGGTGTTTGAACATCTTAACACAACTCCTGTATTTGTGCCATAAAGGGAGAAAAGGCCATGCTTTCTTTTTGTTAGATGTTATTGTTACCAGGTGTAAGATCCCACTGAGCTGCTATGTATCGATTGGCCATCACAAATGATAGCTCATCCAAGTGTCTTAGTATCATCATCATCATCATCATGTGGAAATGTATACAGTGGCGGCTCCTGCAAAATCTCTCAGGGGGGGCAAATGTCTGGATGATTGATAAGGATAAGGTCCACCCATGCAATGAATAAATTAACAGCTTAAGCATGTAAAGGCAACTTCACTTCTTTAATATTAATGAAAAATAAAGTGACTCTTACAATACATCTTGTTTGTTTATATACTCACTATTAAAACAAACCACTCAAGTTTATTTTATTAAAGATTCCACTAGGTAGCGATAAATTATATTGTTGGATGAAACGTGCTTACGTATGATGACGTTAGCACGTATGATGACGTAAGCACGTATGATGACGTAAGCACGTTAGGGCGAGCCCTCCCGGAAGCCATAGAGAATGCATTGGAGCGCCCCCGTTCGAAAAAAAACATCTTTGAATGTAAGTCTATGGGGCCACTCGGGGCGATTCTCAGCCGTAGTGAAATCGCCCCAAAAGAGGCGGTACTCCACAGAACGTGACATGACGCTGATTGGACTATATCCAGAGGCTGACAGTGACGGCTAGCGTGACTCTGTGGTTGAATGACATTGGTGGTGCGTCGCCCAATCGCCCTAATGAAGAAACCGCCCCTGAATGTATAGCAGTAGCCACATACTCTAAACGCATGTGTTTCTAAATGTGGAGGGAAAACCCGGGACGACCCGGAGAAAAATCAACACGACCACGGGGAGAACTCTAAATCTACAGCAGCAGGCGTCATCAGGGTCGGGATCGGACCCACGGACCTCCCGCATACCAGGCGAGGTAGGTAACATCTCCTAGCCACCGTGATGATAAGAGAGACACGCCAACTTCAAACATACAGCAGCAGGCATCATCATGGTCGGGATCGGACCCACGGACTTCCCGCATACCAGGCGAGGTAGTTAACATCTACCTAGCTAGGTAGATGTTAACTTATCATTCAATAGTTTAAAGTTGAGAGGTGTAGTAGCGGTGGTTACGGTCACCGGCAGTGCAGGAGGCGGAGCTGCGAGTACGCCCTCCGGGGCCCGAGTTGAATCTGTGGATGACAGTCGGTAGGTCAGGTGGCACCGTCACACACGCACACTCATCTCACCCTCAACAGCATCGTGCGTCCATAGAGACATTGTCCATTTTTACCATGCGCGTATACAGTCGATCGCCGATTATCCGGCTGCTTCCAACATTATCCGGCAGTCTCGGGCCGATCCGGCAAAACCGCTCCAAAGGTGCGGTGATCGGCAGCACCATGCAGCTTGACTTCAGCGTCAAATATTGCGTACGGTACTTTATACACTACATACAACGTAAACAATGAAAGTACTATGGGAACCTCATTTGCCAGTAAAAATATGATAATTGGTTTTTTACCCTTCTATCTGGCAACAAAACTGACACCTTTTTACAAGGAGTCATGTTTGCATAGACCGCAATACCTGCAGTCATAATACAAACAAAGGACATAACTATGATAATGTGCACTGTCCTTGAAGTTGATTGGTCCACACCCGAGACAGCTTTCCTTAGAGCCTAGTCTCACATGGGTTGGACCAGATGACGCCAAAAGGCGCCTTTTGGCGCACATTATCAAAGTTATGTTTTTTGTTTGCATTATGACTGCAGGTATTGTGGTCTATGTAAACATGACTCCTTGTAAAAAGGTGTCAGTTTTGTTGCCAGATAGAAGGGTAAAAAAACAATTATCAATGAAAGTACTGCACCTATATATATCACCCCATGATGCAGAGTGGTTCACTACGGTTACGGTAGATACGGTCACTTTTTTCACGCAAGATATTTATTTGTGTCTCTTTGCGCGTTTGTTTGTGTGGTACAGAAGGATGCGCTATCAGTGGTCTCGACATCGGCCTCTGTGGAGGAGGCTCGTGAAGGACGCTACTGGGCAGTTGGGGGCAGTCGCCCTCCAACAACAACGGAGGGCAGAGGAGCGATGCTCACAACAACGAGCGGAGCGGCTAAAGCGCAGCGGGAGTTGTCGGAGTAGGGAGAAGCACAGCAGGTGGTAAATCTGCCAGCCATCTCGGTCAAGTCATCCCCATGGCACCAGCTGGGTCTGTCCCGTGGCCTCCTCCTGCCAGTAGCAGAGCCTTCGACACTTCACGTGGTAGTCTCAACGTGCACCCAGCCTGGCACGGGCGACGTGGCGATGGCACGGCAACTCGGTGGTTGTTGTTGTTGTTGTTGCTGTGTGTGCGTTCGGGTGTTCATTCAGTGAAGGTGCATTTCTTACGAGCGCGTTTGATGATTTTGTCGTACAAGACTAATGGTTTTATGCAATTCTGGTCTTCCTCCTCGCGTGACAAAGCAATCTTCTCTTGTGACCCTGGAAACAAAAACAAAGACCTCCCTTAACAGACTGTAGGGGTAAGTGCTGTTAGCGAGCAGCACCTATGAAGGCCGGCACGACACACGAGGGGTGGGTGGCCAGCACCATGCCCGGTCGTCATTGTCTCTGCCGAGTGGCGATATTTTTACACACCGCACCAGGTACTCATTTGAGGCTGAGTCGACCTAGGGGAGGCCCAGAACCGGTTCAGACAATCGTCACTGGTGGTGTCGCCAAGTTCGTAGCACAGCGTGCTAATCGCTGCACCACCGCTCCCCACACACATACACACGTAGACACACGTACACACACACGTACACACACAGACACACACACACACGTACACACACAGACACACGTACACACACAGACACACACAGACACACACACGTACACACACACACAAACACAGGTGTACACACAGACACACACGTACACACACACACGTACACACAGACACACACGTACACACACACACATAAACACACACTTGTACACACATACACACACGTAAACACACATGTACAAACACATAAACGCACGTACACACACGTGTACACACATACACACACTGACACACACACTAACACACTGTGACACACACACTATGACACACTGACACACACACTAACACACACACTAACACACACATTGACACGCACACTAACACACACACTAACACACACTGACCACACACACACACTGACACACACACACTATGATACACTGACACACACTAACACACGTACACACACATAAACACACACATAAACACACAAGTACACACACACGTACACACACATACACACACTGACACACAAACTAACACACACACACTGACACACACACAGTGACACGCCAAGTGATCTCCGACTGAACATTCTTCCCCAAAGCGGCCGACTTGTGGTTCACCAGCCCTGCGCCTCTGGTGGAAATCCCCAGGGGCCTACAACATGGCCGCCAATCAACAACAACATCAACAACAAGCACAACAACAACATCAGTTTTAGACGTGGTGGGCTTTAGCCACCAACACCACCCATGACGCGTGCGTGTCTCTGTGTGCGTGTCTCTGTGTCTTGTCTGGGGAGGTGGTGGAGGTGGAGGAGGTTCGATCGCGTGAAGCTGTAAAAGTGCACCTACACAAACCCTCCCTCGATGGCCGTGTCGGGTGGTGGCGAGCTTGACGACACACCAAGTTCATGTATTAGGTGTAGCCCTGTGAGCCATTCGGCTCTTGAATCGGGTGCAACCGCAACAAACAAATAAAAATGAACAAAAAACATCTTAAAGTGACTATGTGACTGAGTGCAAACAGAAAATCCAAGAAAAGACAGCAAAATATTGCAGAAAAAGCACCGTTACACACCAACGCTGTGTGCAAACATCCCATTGGGATGCAAGTCAAACAACCAACAACAACCACAAGACAACTTAGATTAAGGCCATCAGTCTAACTCTGTACTACAACAAACAAACATGGCTAAACCAATACACTTTTCGAAAATCACCAAAATAAAGCCATAAAAGTCAAACAACCACAAGACAACTTAGTTTAAGGCCATCAGTCTAACTCTGTACTACAACAACACAAACATGGGCAAACCAATACACTTTTCGAAATCACCAAAATATGGCTATGAAAGCAATGAAACAGTGATCATAGGAACTGTGACGGAATTTTCACAATAAATGACGTAAACAACATGTACTACCAAAACCCTGCAGCCATAGCTGGCTACATGAGTCACTCCACAACAGCAGGAGCATCAAGAGACAAACGAGACAAACACCCTCCTCCTCTTATTATCATCGCCACCCCCACACCCTGGCGCACCTGGAGTCGTCGGGGGTTCCGTGGGAACACCGTCACGGATAGCCATGTCTCTCGGAACGTCGGACGATTACGATGGCGCCGAGGGGGTTCACGACAGCGAGGCTTCCTGTTTCCGCGTTGGCCGCGTTCTTTGGTATTTCCCTGACGCCACCTAGGTGGTTTCCAATGACGTCACGCAGGTAATTTCCTATAACTGTGTTTGAGTTGTACGCCTTCTGCCGTCATCTGGTCCAACACCAATGGGGACTAGGCTCTAAAGAAAGCCGTCTCGGGTGTGGACCAATCAACTTCAAGGACAGTGCATATCATTATCATCAGAGTTGCTTCTTTTTGTTTACATTTTTGACTACTTGTGTTGTGGTTATTGCAAACATGATGCCTTGTATAAAGGTGTCAGTTTTGTACCAGTTTAAAAGGGTAAAAACCTACTACTATATTTTGCCACTGGTAAAAGAGGTCTCATAGTGTCACGCAGGTGGTTTCCCATGACGCAGGTGACAGTTTCAGTTTTTCAGTTTCATTTATTAGGTAGAGCCCTGTGAGCCATTCGGCTCTTGAATCGGGTGCAACCGCAACAAACAAAAAAACTAAAACATGAACAAGAAAACATCTTAAAGTGACTATGCGCAAACAGAAAAATCCAGGAAAAAACTGCAAAGTCTTACAGAAAAAAGCACCGTACACCAACGCTCTGTGAAAAAATCCCAGTGGGATGCAAGTCAAACAACAACCACAACCACAAGACAACTTAGATTAAAGCCATTATTCTAACTCCGTACTACAGCAAACAAACATGGCCAAACCAGAAAACTTTTCGAAACCACCAAAATAAAGCCATAAGCAATGTAACAGTGATCATAGGAACTGTGACCGAAATTTAACAATAAATGACATAAACAACATGTACCACCAAACCCTGTAGCCATAGCTGGTTGCATGAGTCACTCCACAACAGCAGTAGGAGTATCAAAAAATTCAAATGCACCTTTAAAGATCAGCAGACTAAATCAAAACACATCATACTTTGTAGCGGTCATCCGGAACGAAAACATTTGATTTTAGGCCACTGAATAGCAGTGGCAGCTAGGGGTGGACAACTCCTCTAGAGCAGTTTTGAGTGAATATCTCACAGGTAGTGATTCAAGTTGCAGTTTATTGGCAACAGCATTCCAGACCCTGGGGGCCTCAATAGCAAAGGCCCTTCCTCCAGTATTTGTACGGCAATAAGGAATGTGAAGCTGGTAAATGAGCGAAGACCTTAGGTCACATTTGTTCTTCGAAACAGAGAGGAGATCCAACAGGTAATCTGCGGATTGTCTTGTAAGTACATCGTGCATAAATAAGATCTGGTGCACAAGCCGTCGAACATGAAGAGATGTTAAGTTTGACCCAATGTCGAGATCGCCGTGGTGACTACTATATGGGCAGTTCAATGCAAATCTTAAGGCCGAGTGATAAATTGAGTCAAGTTTCTTCAGTAGTGCTTGGGGCTGATTTGTATACGATGTCACAATAATCAAGTAGAGGCAGTATGGTAGCTTTTATCAATTCCAAACGGAACATAGGGGGGAAGCATTGCTTGTGTCGATACAGAAAACCAATTTTTATTTTTGTCTTTTTACCAATATAATCAATGTGATCTTCAAATTTCAGTTTTGAATGCATGATGACCCCAAGATACTTATAGATCTTGACCTGCTATATTTGATAATTATTTAAGGAATGCAATGGGGGGAAAATAACGTTCTGCTTTAGCCCTGGTGAGAAGCATAGCACCTTGGTTTTGGAGGTATTCAGGACGAGTTTAACGTCATGCGGAGAGCGGCCAGCAGTAATCAGTATTGTGTCATCTGCAAAAAGATTTACCCTGGAATGATCCAGGTCAGTGCCCAAGTTATTGACATAAAGAGAGAACAAGAGGGGGCCGAGGATGGAACCCTGTGGAACCCCTTTTGTTATCTTGACACTGTTTGACCTCCAACCATCTGTGAATATACAGTTTGGGTGCGAGAAAAGAGGTAATTTTTAACCATTCTACTGCGTGTTTGGAGAAACCGAGGCAACTTAGTTTACTAAGCAGGGTGTTGTGGTCGACTGTATCAAAGGCTTTGGACAAGTCAAGAAAAAGAATACAGGTTTACCAAAAGATATTCCGAAACTCGCAGACCATTGTTTAAATAACACTTACTTCTTATGGAGAGGCGAATTCTTTAAACAAAGGGAGGGCGCAGCAATGGGCTCTCCTTTATCTCCTGCTATAGCAAATTTGTACATGGAAAACTTTGAAACCAGAGCACTTGCCTCGAGCACATTAAAACCATCCTTTTGGTTTAGATATGTGGATGACACTTTGGTTGTCTGGCCACATGGTAAAGATACACTTAACGATTTTCTAAATCATCTCAATGCACAAAACCCGGCCATTCAGTTCACCATGGAAATGGAGGTGAAGAACACACTCCCGTTCCTGGATATTTTACTTGGGCATGGCCCAAACGGTAAAATAACACACAGCGTTTACAGAAAGCCAACGCACACTGATGCCTATCTGAATGCAGATTCGCATCATCACCCAGCTCAGAAATCCTCTGTTATCAAGACGCTCATACATCGGGCTAAAACAGTGTCAGATGGTGAAAGACTTTTCGGTAAAGTCACGTAGAAGGAAAATAATAAAATTATAAAATCATGTTTTATTTTTATTATTTTCCTTCTACGTGACTTTACCGAAAGAACCAAGAAGATGAACACCAGTGGCTTCTTTAGTAGATCACCACCAGTGGCTTTAGGAGAACATCACCAGTGGCTTTAGTAGAACATCCCCATCACCAGCGTCAGTGTCACCGCCAGTGAAAGCGTCTTGTGCCGCATCTCGCCGCCCGCCCCGCGCCCCGCGCGTGGCCAAGTCAGCGACCCGCGGAGAGAGGAGGCCGCAGGCTCCTCCAGAGAAACAACAACAACCACCACAACCACAACAACAACAACCACTACCACATAGACAACAACAACCACCACAACCACAACAACCACCACCACTACAACCACATAGATAACAACAACCACCACCATCACAACAACCACCACATACACAACAACAACCACCACATACACAACAACAACCACAACCACCACAACAACCACCACAACCACATAGACAACCACAACAACCACCACAACCACCACAACAACCACCACCACCACATAGACAACAACCACCACCACAACAACCACAACAACCACCACCACATAGACAACAACAACCACCACAACCACATAGACAACAACAACCACCACCCCAACAACCACCACAACAACCACAACCACATAGACAACAACCACCGCTACATAGACAACCACCACATAAACAACAACCACATAAACAACAACCACTACATAGAAACCAATCACACAGACACCAACTACATAGGCAACAACCACAGAGACAACAACCACCACTACAACCACCACAACAACCACCACTACAACCACCACTACAACCACCACAACAAAGTAACATTCACAAAGCGAGGGTCTTTACCGAGTTGAATCGGGTAAACACGTAAACAACTACAACCACAACCAACTACAACAACCACTACCAACCACAACAACCACTACCAACTACAACCACTACCAACCACAACTACAACCACTACCAACTACAACCACAACCAACAACAACTACAACAACAACCACTACCAACTACAACCACTCCCAACTACAACCACAACTACAACCACTACAACCAACTACAACCATTATCAACTACAACCACAACAACCAATACTAACTACAACAACCACTACCAACTACAACCACTACCAACAACAACAACCACTACCAACCACAACAACCACTACCAACTACAACCACTACCAACAACAACAACCACTACCAACCACAACAACAACAACCAATACCAACTACAACAACAACAACCACTACCAACAACAACCATAACTACCAACTACAACCACAACAACTACAACCACAACAACAACCACTACCAACCACAACTACAACCACAACCAACCACTACCAACTACCAACGACAACCAAAACCAACTACAACCATCGCAGGCGTTCGACGTTGCCGTGGTTACCCCTCCTCGTGTCGCCATGGCGATGGACCCGCGGCACCCGAGCGCCACCTCGCAGGAGCTGAGGGTCAAAGAGGAGGTGGAGGAGGAGGTGGAGGAGGTGGAGGAGGAGACGTCACCAGCGGTGGACTTCGCACGCAGTGACCCTGGTGCGGGTGAGCGACTGGTGGCAGTGGTGGTTAAACTAAAAACTAAACTTCATTTTTACACTATGAGACATCTCCTTTACCAGTGGCAAAATATAGTGATAGGTTTTTTACCCTTTCAACTGGTACAAAATTGCAATAACCACAACACAAGCAGTCAAAATGCAAACAAAAAGAAACATCTCTGATGATGATAATGATATGCACTGTCCTTGAAGTTGATTGGTCCACACCCGAGACAGCTTTTCTTAGAGCCTAGTCTCCATTGGTGTTGGACCAGATGACGCCAAAAAGCGCACAACTCAAAGCGCACTATCAGAGTTAAGGAGGTCTCATAGTGTAAATGCTTCACCCCGAGCTCTCAATACTCTGATAGTGCGCTATCTTTGAGTTGTGCGCCTTTTGGCGTCATCTGGTCCAACACCAATGGAGACTAGGCTCTAAGAAAAGCTGTCTCGGGTGTGGACCAATCAACTTCAAGGACAGTGCATATCATCATCATAATCAGAGTTGTTTCTTTTTGTTTGCATTTTGACTGCTTGTGTTGTGGTTATTGCAAACATGATGCCTTGTATAAAGGTGTCAGTTTTTGTACCAGTTGAAAGGGTAAAAACCTACTACTTTATTTTTATACCTTTACGAGGTGTAAGGCCTCCGCTGAGCTGCTCTGTAAGTTTCTTTTTCAGAAGCGACGCTGCCGAACACAAACTATGGCGGCTCAGCCAAGTGGCTTTTCACGTGGACATTTATACCAGCCACATGAACCAAGAAGAACGATAGTCCCATATGTGTGTTCACATTTTTTTGAAGCACTCTATACGCTCAATTCTGACCTCTGACCCTTCCGCCTATCCCAGGTGACGGAGGAGAGGTTGGCATGGGGGTGAGGGGCAAGCTGGAGAGCGTGGGGGAGGAGTGGGAGCCCGAGGGGGATGAGGGGGATGAGGAGGAGGGGGATGAGGGGGGGGAGGAGGAGGGGGCGGGTCTCCCTCCAAGCACGGCCGAGGTGGAGGTGGAGCTGCGGGAGAGCGACGCCGGCGGTGACGACGACGAAGACGACGATGGGGGACAAGGTCGGCGAATTCTCATTACCAATAAACTACGTGGAAAAAAATCTAACTAAGCTTGTGCAAGAGGCTCCAATGCCCATTGGCCTCTCCCCTCATGGTGTCTGTGACCACTACAGTGGCTAAACGGGGGCTCTGGACAGGTGCGAGGGGCTGGTAACCCCTCCACCTTCAATTCATTACCACGAAACTACGAATTAAACATAAATATGTAACTAATAAGCTTGTGCCGGAGGCCCCGGGGGGACAGGCATCTATGACGTCTCCTGGCCAAACCCCAATTGGCGGAGCCAGGAGATTGAATCTTCACCCTCGGGGCTCCTCTAGAAACAACGAAAAGCCACTACGGATGGCCACGTGGAATGTTCGAACGCTCATTGCGGAGGAGAGGCTGCCACTCCTTTGTCGGGAGCTGGACCGGTACCGCCTGGATTTCTGGCATTCAGGAGGTCTGGTGGACCGGTTCTGGCTCTAGTCACGATGAGGGGTGGACAGTCCTCCACTCGGGGCAGGAGACTGCTAAACAACAGCGAGTGGCTCTTCTTCTGAATAAAAGAATGAAGGGGGTGTGGGAGCATGGCTGTGAGGTGTGGGAAGCTGTAAGCCCCAGGCTAGTGGTGGTGTTTACTTATGCCCCCACCGAAGACGAACATCCGTGGAGGGATGCAGACAAAGCCGATGAGTCAGATGCCTTCTATGACCTCCTGTCACAGGTGCTCGCTAAAGTGGCCCTTTGGGATAGAGTCATCCTGTTGGGTGACTTTAATGCCCAAGTGGATCATGACGCTGGCACCTGGTTTGGAATGATTGGAAGGCATCGGTCAGATCAGCTCAATAACAACAGTAGGAGGCTGCTAGACTTCCGTACAGCCCATGGGCTTGTAATTACCAACATGCATTTCCGGCATTGGCGCATCCACACAACATCATGGATGCACCCCGGGTCCAAGCAAGAATATCTGCTGGAATACATAGTGACAGAACAGCGGATGTGAGCCCATGTCCTTGACACCAGGACCTACCGTGGAGCTGATCTGCCCGCTGACCATTGACTTGTCATCTGTCCGTCTAGGATCTCATTCAAACCCACAGTGGCCTGGTCTCGGCTAATAAAAGTTGCAAGCGAGAATTTCATCATTGCATGCAGCTGGGGTTGGCATCGTCCCCCCCTCCTGATGCCGAGGGGAAATGGGTGAGGTTTAGTACTATGGCTCATGCAGCTGCAATGGCTGCTTTGGGTACACATCCCAAACTTGCCCAGAGACCCTGGCTGACAGACGAGGTGTTCCAGTTGGCTGGGAAAAAGCGGCAGGCCCACTCTCACCGTCTACAGCATCCCACATTGGAGAATGAGGAGGCCTTTGCTCGGAGGTTTGGAGAGCCGTGCAGTGCTGCAAGGATAAGTGGTGGTCGCGGGTTTCTGAGGAGTTGGAGTCTGCCTCAGTCGCTCGCGATCACAATTTACTCTTTTATTCCATCAAAAAAGTAACTTGCAGCGCCACGCCTATCACCATCAGGGGAAAGAAAGGTGATAGATCTCCGACCCCCTGGAACAGGTTTGCAGATTTACTGAGGATCTCTGTGAGGCTTTGGGGGAGGGGAAATCTCTCAGCTCAGAAAAGATCATGGGGCAAAATTGGAGATGAAACACTACACACTACAATACATGCTACACTATATACAACAATACACACTGTGCACTACACTCCTATACACTACACCACTATACTCAATTGGAAACTCGTTTCTTGTTCAGTTGTCCATCCCCCAACATGCACACAGAATCATGAAATGTATTTATATTGGAGGAATCTGATGAGCTACCAAGTTATTTTTCACTGATGTTCGGTACAGGACTGTTACTTTCGGTAAACGTAAATGCAGCGGGCATCGTTCAACAACGCGGATCTAAAGCAACGGTGACAACGCGCAGTTACAGATTCCCGATTCACTACGCCACCTGCCTTGTCCTGCTCCACCTCATCATCACAGGGAGAGAGACAGAGAGATTCACAAACTCCAAATATACAACAGGTGTCATGGTCGGGATCGAACCCACGACCTCGTGTATACCAGGCGAGGTAGTTAACATCTCCTAGCCACCGTGATGATGATGATGAGAGAGACGCAGACTCCAAATATACAGCAGCAGGCCTCGTCAGGGTCGGGATCGAACACACGACCTCCTGCACACCAGGCGAGGTAGTCAACATCTAGCCACCGTGGTACCGCTTCCACGCGGACCAGACATCTTTGAATCGGTGGGAGCACCCACACTTTACCCCACCCTCCTCCTCCTGTACAACCACCCCCCCCACTTCCCTGGCAGCGAGCAGCGAGTGGCCACAGCAGCGGACGAGGAGGAGAAGGTGGAGGCGGAGGCCCCTGCGTGTGAGCGAAGGTGGAGGGGGCGACGACGAGGAGGAGGAGGAGGAGCACGTGGAGGAGGAGGAGTCTCCACACACCTGCGTGCACTGCGGGGAGGCCTTCCTCATGCTCTTCAGCCTCAAGGTGCCACGGCCAACGCGTCCGCACGCATCTCTCTCTCCCTCCTGCGGGTCACAGCAAACACCGTGGACACACCACGTGGTCACAGCAAACACCGTGGACACACCACGTGGTCACAGCAAACACCACGTGGTCACAGCAAACACACAAGGACGCTACTGGGCAGTTCGGAGGTAGTCGCCCTCCAACAACAACGGAGGGTGGGGGAGCGACGCTTACAACAATGAGCGGAGCGCGTTGTTGTGATGCATCAGCCAGTCATCTCAGTCAGTCGATCCGTGGCACCTGTGTCTGCCCCGTGACCTCCTGCCAGCGGGCGTTCGACACTTCACGTGGCCTCAACGTGCACTTGGCCTGGCACAAGCATCGTGGTGATGTCACCGCCACTTAGTGGCGAATGGTGGTTGTTGTTGTGTGTGAGTGAGTGTAAGTGAGTGAGTGTATGAGTGAGTGTGTGAGTGAGTGAGTGTGTGTTAGTGAGTGGTAGAGTGAGTGTGTGAGTGGTAGAGTGAGTGTGTGAGTGAGTGTGTGAGTGAGTGAGTATATGAGTGAGTGAGTGGTAGAGTGTGTGAGTGAGTGTGTGAGTGAGTGAGTATATGAGTGAGTGAGTGAGTGGTAGAGTGAGTGAGTGTGTGTGTTAGTGAGTGTGTTAGTGAGTGGTAGAGTGAGTGTGTGAGTGAGTGTGTGAGTGAGTGAGTATATGAGTGAGTGAGTGGTAGAGTGAGTGTGTGAGCGAGTGAGTGGTTGAGTGAGTGGTAGAGTGAGTGTGTGAGTGAGTGTGTGAGTGAGTGAGTATATGAGTGAGTGAGTGGTAGAGTGAGTGTGTGAGCGAGTGAGTGGTTGAGTGAGTGAGTGGTAGAGTGAGTGTGTGAGTGTGTGAGTATATGAGTGAGTGGTAGAGTGAGTGTGTGAGCGAGTGAGTGGTTGAGTGAGTGAGTGGTAGAGTGAGTGTGTGAGGGAGTGGTAGAGTCAGTGTGTGAGTGTGTGAGTATATGAGTGAGTGGTAGAGTGAGTGTGTGAGCGAGTGAGTGGTTTAGTGAGTGAGTGGTAGAGTGAGTGTGTGAGGGAGTGGTAGAGTCAGTGTGTGAGTGTGTGAGTATATGAGTGAGTGGTAGAGTGAGTGTGTGAGCGAGTGAGTGGTTGAGTGAGTGAGTGGTAGAGTGAGTGTGTGAGGGAGTGGTAGAGTCAGTGTGTGAGTGTGTGAGTATATGAGTGAGTGAGTGAGAAAGCAAAAGCTCCACGTGGAGCGACGGTGACGAGATGTGGCGCGCCGCGATGTCTAAACCGGGACGTGCTTGCGCCAGGTGCACCTGCGCACGCACCTGAGCGACCACCCGCACACGTGCGCCGACTGCGGGCGCTCCTTCTCCCACCCGTCCACGCTGCTCAAGCACCGCAGCGCTCACACCGGCGAGCGTCCCTTCGCCTGCACGGACTGCGGCCGCGCCTTCTCCCGCGGCTACGGCCTCAAGCTGCACCGCCTGTCGCACGCCGGCGCCCTGCCGCACCCGTGCGCCGAGTGCGGCCGCGCCTTCGCCGAGCTCGCCGCCCTGCGCAAGCACCAGCGGCGGCACGCCGCCGCGGCCGCCGACGCCGACGGCCGCCGCCGCCGGCCTCACGCCTGCCGGGCGTGCGACCGCACCTTCGCTCAGGCGCCGGCGCTGGAGCGGCACGAGCGCAGCGCCCACCCGCCCGGCGGGAGGCCCCACGCCTGCGCCGAGTGCGGCGAGGAGTTCTCGCGGGCCGAGGCTCTGCGGGCCCACCGAGGCGCGGCCCACGCGGCCCAGCGGCCCTTCGTGTGCGAGCGTTGCGGCGACGGCTTCATGCGCCTGGCCACGCTGGACAAGCACCGGCGCACGCACACGGGCGAGCGTCCGCACGCCTGCGAGCAGTGCGGCCGCTCCTTCTCGCAGCTGTGCAACCTGCGCGAGCACTGGAGGACGCACACCGGGGAGCGGCCCCACGCCTGCCCCGAGTGCGGCAAGGGCTTCTCCAAGCTCTCCAACCTCAAGGTGGGGTGACGGGGCCCGCTGTGGGGGGCGGGTGGGGTGTGTGGTGTGTGCGTGTGTGCGTGTGTGGTGTGTGCGTGTGTGGGGTGTGCGGGCGTGTGTGGTGTGTGTGTGTGGTGGTGTGCATGTGTGGTGGTGTGCGTGTGTGGTGTGTGCGTGTGTGGTGTGTGGTGTGTGCGTGTGTGGTGTGTGCGGGCGTGTGTGGTGGTGTGCATGTGTGGTGTGTGTGCATGTGTGGTGGTGTGCGTGTATGGTGTGGTGTGCGTGCGTGGTGTGTGTGTGTACGGTCGTGTGTGGTGGTGTGCGTGCATGTGTCGTGGTGTGCGTGTTTCGTGTGTGTGTGTGTGGTGTGTGTGCGTGGTGTGTGGTGTGTGTGGGCTTGTGTGGTGGTGTGACTTTGTGTGTGTATGCATATGTGGTGGTGTGTGGGAGTGCGTTGTTGTTGTTGGTAGTGTGCATGTGTGTATGGTGGTGTGTGTGTGAATGTGTGTGTAGTGGTGTGCGTGTATGTGTGGTGTGCGTGTGTGCATGCATGTGTGGAGTGTCAGAGGCCCCGAGGGGACAGGCGTCTATGACGTTTCCTGGCCAAACTCCATTTGGCAGAGCCAGGAGACTGAATCCTTACCCTCGGGGTTCCTCCCGAAACAACAAAAAGCCACTGCGTGTGGCCACGTGAGATGTCCGAATGCTCACTGCGGAGGAGAGGCTGCCACTCCTCTTTTGGGAGCTGGACCGGTACGGCCTGGATCTCTGTGGTATTCAGGAGGTTTGGCTGGGATTTGGAGCCATTCCCTGTTCACCTTGGGGTGCGACAGGGATGTCCTCTGGCTCCCACATTATTTAATATTTATTTTGACCACGTAGTTCGTGAAGCTTTCGATGGCTGTACCGGAGGAATTTCCATCTGGTACTGATACAATAGGAGGCTTATTGATACCTGGGTGGGGTCAAGGGATGGCTCCCTATGGGTCAACTATGTAATGGATGCCAATGATCTGGTAAAAGCTGCTCAATCAGAGGAGGAGTTGGAGGCGCTGCTGCTGAACCTGAAGTGTGCCACTAAGAGGTGGGGCCTTACCATCAGCCTCACCGAAACTAAGTACCTGCCTGGGTATTTAGTACCATCAGACACTCCACCCCAACAACTCTATTGGCGGGGCATTTGTGGAGAGAGTGGAGAAGTTCCCGTACCTGAGCAGTGTGCTTATGACCAGTTCCAGTTTGACAGCAGAGGTCTCACTCTGAATCAGTCGAGTAGCATTATATTTTCATCGGCTGCATAATGCTGTGTGGAAGCTACTTGGCCTTTCGCTCCATACATTGCTTCAGGTCTTCTCGGCCACAGTTATTCCCTCCCTTCTCTATGCTTGTGAAATGTGGACCCCCCTAATGGGACATCTTCGCTGGTGATGAACATTCAGGCTGGCCTGCCTATGATCCATCCTGGGTTTAACCAGGCTGGATTGTGTGAGCAGCTCACAAATCCTTGAAAGATCTGAACACAGTCCCATCGGTGAGCTCGTCTGGCAGGCAAGGCTGCGTTGGCTGGGTCATGTAGCCTGCATGCCTAGCCACCGCATGCCCAAACAGCTTTTGTTTGGCAAGATAGAGGGGGTTAAATGGGCGTGGCATGGGCTAGAGAAGAGATGGAATGATGTTGCATGATATGATATGGAGCTGAGTGGACTTACCTTTGACTGGTACCAGCGGTGTCAAGATCGGCCTCTGTGGAGGAGGCTCGTGAAGGACGCTACTGGGCAGTTGCAGGCAGTCGCCCTCCAGCAACAACGGAGGCAGAGGAGCGACGCTCACAGCAATGAGCAGAGTGGGAGGTGGCTAAAACACAGCAAGTTGGCACAGTAGGGGGCACAGGTGGTGCATCAGCCAGTCATCTCAGTCAACCCATGGCCCCTTGGCCTATCCTGTGACCTCCTGCAGGCAGGTGTTCGACACTTCACGTGGCCTTAATGTGCACATAGTCTGGCACAAGCGCCATGGTAACGTCACTATCACTTCATGGACAATGACGGTTGTTGTTGTTATGTGTGTGTGTTGTGCCTCTGTGGATTTCTGTGTATGTGTGTATGTTGAACTTCTTTTGCAACACTGTACGTAGCCAACCATGCTAATCAAAGGTGTGGGGAAATAATCAGTTCTGAAGTTCTGAAGAAATTAGTTTATCAATCTGGATGATGATTTAAAAGTACATAGCTCCCGGTGGCGTTCCAGGCGGCCGTATAAGCGCAATTAAAGTGTGCTTTCGTTGGTAAGCCAAAAGTGTAATGTATAGTGGTGCATATAGCGGTCTAGTATTGTGTACAGTAGAGTAGTGTATAGAAGTGTAGTGTATAGTGTAGTATATAGTAGTGTAGTGTATAGTTGTGTATAGCATAGTTTATAGTATAGTAGTGTAGTGTATATGATTGTAGTGCATAGTGAAGTGTATAATGTAGTGTATAGGAGTATAGTGTATAGCAGTGTATAGTGTCGTGTATAGTGTCATGTATAGTGTTGTGTATAGTGTCGTGTATAGTGCCGTGTATAGTGTAGTGTATAGTGTAGTGTATAGTGTAGTGTACAGTGTAGTTTATATAGCATCTGAAAGCTTGCGATGATGCGGTGACCGTGTTTGTTCGATGGTTCGCCAAAAGCCGCTACTGCTGCTGCTGCGATGACCGGAGTTTGTGTGAGGTGGTGAGGGGCGGAGGAGGGGGGAAGGGGCAGAGAAAGGAAGGTTAAACAGCGCTCCCTCCCCGCCCCCCCTCCTTCTGCCCCCCACCCACGGACAGGTCCACCTGCGCACGCACACGCACGAGCGCCCGCACGTGTGCGAGCGCTGCGGCCGTGCGTTCACCCTCATGTCCACGCTGCGCAAGCACGAGCGCACGCACACGGGGGAGCGGCCGCACGCCTGCGCCGACTGCGGCCGCGCCTTCGCCCAGCTCTCCAACCTGCGCGCCCACGAGCGCCGGCACGCCGCCGCCGCCTCCGCCGGCGGAGCCACGGCCGTCATCCACGAGCGCCGGCACGAGTGCGGGGAGTGCGGCCGCTCCTTCGCGCAGGCCGCCACGCTGCACAGGCACCGACTCACGCACGCCGCCCGTGCCCACGACGACGACGAGGCCGCGCCCGCCGGTGACGGCGCCGCCGACACGGAACCCGCCACCGTGCCGGTGACGGCGGCGGTGGCGGTGGCGGCAACGACGGTGGAGTCGCCGCCGTGATCGCGGCAATGGGCCGTGCCGGTATAGTGTAGTTTATATTGTAGTGCCGGGCTCGTTGCCAGGCGTGTGCGCCAGCGATGGGTTAGCCGCTCAGTCGCTCGGCGTCGTCTCTCGTGCGTGTGGTGTGCCGTGTGCCGTGCCGTGTGCTGCGGTTTGGCATCCGACTAGGACTTGTATCTGGCACGGCGCGGGAGACGACTGGCAGGGTTCACCTGGAACATTGGTTCAAGCAGAGCCTGACTCTGCTGGTGGTAATGATGAGACTGGTCCTAGCCTATAAACATCTGGGCAATTCAACAGCATTGATTCAGGCAAGCATGACTGCTGATGAGACATTTGGTGTCAAAATCGGTGCACAGTTTTGTTTCATGCTGAACAAGTGCTGCTGAAATGACGCGCTCCCCAGAAGGCTGTGGGGCAGACGGGACGTGTAGATTATAGTCGTAGGAGCCCATTTCCTTAACGAGAGGGAAGGGCCCTTGCCCATGCGAAGAATGGGAAATCATTTGCCGAGCTGTCGGGTTTATTTTGATCGAATCGGTCGAGCGATGGACAGGTCAGGGCTGCCGTCTGACGCCGGCTCCTATCACAGCGCTCTGTAGACAAACCAGCGGCTCATCGACGGAGCGAAGCCGTTCACACGCGGCGGTGGAGCGGTCGCGTGGAGCTCTCGTCGGCAACTAGCATCGCGAGTTTCGATCTCTGCGCGCGGCACGCAATGACATTGCACACCCGGGCAGCGGGTCCGGCACGGGCACGGCGACGTCGCGAACTCCAACGTGGTCTCGGGCTTTTTCTCCATCGGCGCCATTTCCGTGTTGGTGGCTAGGTAGATGTTAATTCTAGATTTGAAGCTTTCGTGACTGCAAGGATTCATATTCTTAGGTTTTTTCGGTAAAGTCACGTAGGTAAAAAAATAAAAAATACTAAAAGTTAAATTAAAATAAAATAAATTCCACCTGAAGACGGAGGTTTGTGTTGCCTCCGAAACGTCGTGATTTTTATTTTATTTTTATTTTACTTTTATTAATTTTTATTTTTTTACCTACGTGACTTTACCGAAAAAACCTAAGAATAGGTAGATGTTAACTACCTCGCCTGGTATGCAGGAGGTCGTGGGTCCCATCCCGACCCTTGATACCTGTTGCTGTATATTTGGGGTTTGTGCGTCTCTCTCCGTGTTTATTGTTGTCCCCCCCCCCCGCCACCTTCGATTCGTACGGTTGGCAAACATATGGTGGTGCGAAAGAAGTTCAACACACGCACATGAACGCTAATTCCTTCAAAGGAAATCCAATCACTCCACCACCCCCCTCTCCCGCTTTGCTCTTCCGTGTGTTTTTTACGATCGAATCCCAGTGGCAGTACCCTCTAAACAAACTTTAAAATCACCCTCGCCGTGCGATTGAACGTTTTGGACAGAACAAAAAATAGCGTGCAGCATGGGGAGGCTGTCATCCAGCAGTGGCTTGAACATGGCTGATGATGATGTTGAGCTGGCTATACCGCCTGACACTGTGATGTACTGTTTAGTTTGTTGTCCTTCCCCCCGCACCTCTGATTAGCACGGTTGGCTATGTATGGCGGTGCGAAAGAAGTTCAGCGTATCTACATCGGAGAATGGGTTTCTATGGTTCTATGTAAGTCTCTGGATCTCTTTGGGTCTCTTCCTTCCGATATTAGGAAACCACTGGAGCTATGCACTTTTAAATCACCTAGATTGACAAACTCATTTCTTTAGAATTGCTTGTTGTGTTTAGTTTGTAGTCCTTCCCCCGCACCTCCGATTAGCACGGTTGGCTACGTGTACTGGTGGTGCGAAAGAACTTTAACATACAAACGTACACCCATATTTGTGGAGTCTTACCTTAGCTACCATAGACCAGGGGGATCCAGCAACCTGCGTGCTCAGGAGGCGCCGTGTGTCCCTTTAAGAGACCGCTTTGTGACGTCGTTTATTGAGCGCCGCCATCTCATATTCGCTATCTTCGCGTCGCGGCGATATTGAGGGGTTTTTTTGTTTCCTACCGAATTCGATACATATGGCTGTCTCGTTACTTTGGTTTTTACCGCCCTTTGCTGTAAGACAATCGTGAGCGAGCAGTGCGAATTCTAATGATGTCTTAGAATGAGGGGAGAGCTGGTTAAGTCATTTGGCTATAGCTTTCAAAAACTGTAAAATTACAAAAAACAGGGACCAGAGTACAAACCGACTTTACGACTTCCTAACTCCGATACTCGAGTTGAGACACGGGGCAGTTAGGATAGGGGTGCCACAGTGGCTAGATGTTCACTACCTTGTCTGGTATACAGGAGGTCGTGGGTTCGGTCTGACGACATTTAGAATGAACAATCCATCGTTTTAGAGTATTTGTCTGCTGTATTTTTCCACATGATGAGCTGCTTCGTTGAGCTATCATTCGTGATAAGTCGCTTCTGAAAAAAATCCACAGAGCAGCTCAGTGAGCCTGATCTGATAAAATAAATGTTTAGTTTTAGGGGTCTATACCAAGTAGAGGACTTCTACTAGACGAGTACGGACACCTCGATTCACCAGGTACAATCCGTCGCCACGCTCCGAGAGACCAGGGATCCGCGGACCTCTGCCAGGATACTCCAGGGGAGTCCTTGAGGATACTATATGAGAGAGACGACCCCTGGTGGTCTGCGAGGGTACTACAGGAGATGGTTCCCTGGTCCGTAGACGCCTGATGGTCGGTCTTCATAGGTGCTACTCGCGAACGTCGCTTGCCCCAACAGTACATTGAGGGTACATGGGGAAGTCTTTGTCTTTTATACCACATGTAGATGACCACCTGAGTGAGCGATCTAACATGTTCACGTTGTATTAGAAGGGGGCTAAAGAGCTGACATTCTGTATGCCTATAGCCAAGTCTTTTTTTGTTGTTGCTTGTGACGAGGACGATCTAAAAAGGAACGTTCCAGAATTTGGGACCCAAGCGTACGGTAGCGCAGGTTGACTGCTTTTACGTAGAGGCCATAGCCCTGCCTGCTATGGCTACGACAGGGGACCCTGCTGGTCCAGGAGATCATACAAACTCCACTCACTCTCACTGTAGAACAGGGGGAGATCATACAAACTCCACTCACTCTCACTGTAGAACAGGGGGAGATCATACAAACTACAGTCACTCACTTTGCAGAACAGGGGGAGAACTTACAGAAATATGCCCGAGTCAGGAATCAAACCCAAGAATTTATTGCTGAGATGCAAGCGTTGCCACTGCGCGCCATGCCCTGTACGAGTACTTTACCAGCTAGCAGAGTAATTCACCTCCTGTGGAGTGTGACGCTAAGACCAATAACGCAGTGAATATTGTTTAAGCATTATTATTATTCTGCTTGTTAACCCAGGCAAGCGTAGATGAGTATCAAGACTTATCAGGAGGGTCCTGCAAGGTTGTTAGTAGTTATAGGGAGTGCATTTGAGCATCTTTATTTTTGCGGTGTAACTTTTCATATTTGACCCATGACGCCGGCAAACACAATTCAGAATCAGCGCCACACAACACCAAGAGGGTCAGGACTCTATCCATCTGTGTGGAGTTCACCCAGCGTGCACACAAAAAGAAAGCACAAACCAAGTTAAAGAAATCCTGCACAACGCGTGGAGCGTGCATCAGCGCTCAAGAAGGCACCTCCCATTAGCAACGGTTGCCAATTTGTGGTGCAAAAAAAGTTCAACGTACAAACATCCCACACCTCCCATTGGCAATGGCTGTCTACGTGCAATGCGAAAGAAGTTTAATGTACATGCATCATCTGGCACCTCACATGAGCAACGGTTGGCTATGTGTGGTGTGAAAGAAATTCAACGTACATATAGAACGCGATGCAGTGATATCACAGCCTTGGCCGACAAGGGTAATTCCTTTTACCATCTTCGTTAAATCCTCGGCTTCTCTGGGCAAGACACTTTTGTCACTTTAGCCGATTGTTACACTGGTCTCAACATTCAATACCATCCGCCGAGCACCACTTTCCCCTCGATTAGGGGCACCAGGGTGGCTAGATATTGACTACCTTGCCTGGAATGCAGGAGGTCGTGGGTTTGATCCCGACCCTGACGACGCATGCTATCTCGCGTGCGGTAGCAGTACTGCAGCAGCAGCAGTATTAGTAGTTGTAGTAATCTCAAGGTCAAACACCCACGCCGAAGGATTGTCCAGGGCGGCCACTGGATTCTGAACACGTGAGCCTCTGCATCGCGCTGATTGTAGCCTGCTGTTTTAGTGCGTAGCAAAGGCATTACGAGGCTTGTGAGAATTATCTTGTAGGTGCTGCTCAATAACGGTATTTGACCCCAACAGTCTGTTAAGGGCTCTAGAGGAGGCATCTTTGTATCATGTGGGGGGGGGGGGGGGGGGGGGGGCATCGTGCTGCATTCACTGCCACCAACGCCGGTGATCGCGATTATCTGTAACAACCGGTCCCGAGCCTCCTCCCCCTAGGTCAGGGGTCGGCAACCAAAATAACAAGAAGAGCCATTTCTTTCCAATTCGGTACAAAATTCAGTATTTCAAGAGCCGCAATGCATCTGAGTACATACACTGTACTCACGTACATATCGTCAAGAAGCAGCCCGTAAAGAGCCGCATGCGGCTCCGGAGCCGTAGGTTGCCGACCCCTGCCCTAGGTCTACTCAGCCTAAAATGAGTACCTGGTGCGGTGGTGTGTAGTAAAAACTTCGCCACTGGGGAGACAAAGGTGGTCGGGCGTGATGCTGGCCACCCGCCCCCTCGTGTGCCGTGGCGGCCTTCATAGGTGCTGCTCCTCGTTCCTCATGGCCCTTGCCCCAACAAGTCTGTTGAGGCTTCACGGGGGTGAGCTTTGTCTTTGTTTGCTTCTCATGTGTCTGTGCTCTCTGGCGTAGTAGGATCGTGGTCTCTGTAAACTTGGTGGCTTCGGGTTTGGGGGTTTGTTTTATGTTAATAAATCTTTCGTGAAATGGTCGCTCTTATTTGAGATTGACTTCGTTCGAGCGTCTGTTGTCGGTTCTGATTCCCCGTTTGGAGAATCCACGGAGTGAGGCGGTCGCAACCACCACGTGCCGGAGACTGGGTTAGGCCTCGGCAAGGCAAGGTAATTTACCCTTTTTACCGGGTAAAAGGGTAAAGGTGTCCACATGCCAAGGGGTAAGGTAGAGGGTAGGGTATAGGTAGCGCGAAGTATTACCCGGTAAATACCTTGTTTACCGCTCGCTAAAAGCTCTGTGGCGCAGTCCGTGGCCTCCCATTTAAAATGGAATCGAGAGTACTGTATTCTGTATGAATAAAGCGCTCTACCTCGCATTTACCTGTTATAAACCTTGTTCATGTGTAGTAGTACCCCAGTAATTACCCTGTAATCGGGTAATTTGTATGGGGTAAAGGGTAGGGTAAAGGTGGGCTCGTTGCTTTTGACCTTTTACCTCACCTTGCTAAAGGGTAGAAGGTAAGGGTAGGGTGATGGTATTGTGGGAAGGTAAAATGTACGGTAAAGGTAGGCTCGTTGCTTTTGACCTTTTACCTCACCTTGCTAAAGGGTAGAAGGTAAGGGTAGGGTGATGGTATTGTGGCAGGGTAAAGGTAGGCTCGTTGTCTTGACCTTGCCGAGGCCTAGACTGGGCCTCGAAGCCGGCGTCACGCCGAGCTACAATAGTTGAGTGTCAACTCTCGGTCGTGGGGGGGTCGTGACGGGGGGGGGGGGTCGTGGTGGGGGGGGGTCGTGGGGGGGTCGTGACGGGGGGGGGGTCGTGGTGGGGGGGAGGGTCGTGGTGGGGGGGGGTCGTGGGGGGGTCGTGACGGGGGGGGGGGGTCGTGACGGGGGGGGGGTCGTGGTGGGGGGAGGGTCGTGGGGGGGGGGTCGTGACGGGAGGGGGGGGTCGTGGGGGGGGGGGCTTCTCGTCGTCCTCTCCTCGAGCTCGTCAAACCTCAGGCTCTGGGTGACACAACCACCCACGTGTGAGGGCGGGGCAGCGGTGGCTGCGTGAACTCGTGGTGAAACTCGCGCAGCGTTCTCGTGCCGCCGCCATCGCTGCCGCACACCGAGACGTCCACGCGTTCCAGCCCCGGCAGTCGACGACTCTCCAAGCCCAAGCGCGGTAACCTTCGCTCCGCCATCACCCCCACCATCACTACAACAACCACCACCACCACTACAACAACCACCACCACCACTGTCACCACGACAACCACCACCACCCCCACCACCACTCTAGATGATTTTAACTGCATAGCGCCCAGTGGCTGACTTCGCCGTCGTTATATACGTGACGTGTCATTTGGCAGGGGGGTGAGGTGTGTGGGGGGTGAGTGGGGGGGGGGGGTGAGTGTGAGGTGGGGGGGTGAGGTGTGAGGTGTGAGGTGGGGGGGGAGTGTGAGGTGGGGGGGTGTGAGGTAGGGGGGAGGTGAGGTGTGTGGGAGTGTGAGGTGGGGGGTGAGGTGTGGGGGTGAGTGTGAGGTGGGGGGTGTAAGGGGGGTGGTGTGTTCACCTGCACGCTACCGTCTCCGTCTCGCGCAGTCTCCACCTCCACGAAGCTCACGGCTCCTGCAGCAGCAGCAGCAACTTGACTCTCACGAGGTCACCATCCCCCCTTGACAATTTGGTTTTTTTATTGTCATCTAAGCCATCAACCGCACCTGCACGCGTCTTGATTACACACGGGGTGTGGTTGTCATGGCTTGGTAGACGAGGAAGTGACTGAAGCTTTCGTGACTGCAAGGATTCATATTCTTAGGTTTTTTCGGTAAAGTCACGTAGGTAAAACATCAAAATTAATAAAAATAAAATATTATATATCAAAATTAATAAAAATAAAATATTATATATATTTTTTTAATTAATTTTGATGTTTTACCTACGTGACTTTACCGAAAAAACCTAAGGATAAGAGGAAGTGACTCACGCTGCGCAGGGCGCGTTCCGCCTCCACGGCCACCACCTCGTGGCCTCTGTGCGGCCCGGCGAAGACAGAAATATTCCAGCGACTCCGAGTCATCTCGGCACCCACGATGGCTGCTCAGCATTTTCTTATCCTCATTTTCCTTCTTCGTTTGCGTGAGCGGCAGGAGTTGATCCACCATGTCGGCGAGCAGTGACCCGAGTTCGATTCCTGTTCACGGCCGACCACCCCTGACGCTTATTTGAACCGGTCCCGGGCATCCTCTAGATCGACTCCGCTTCAAATGAGAACCCGGTGCGGTGCGTAGTAAACACTGCCACTGGGGACAAGGTGATAATAAGGTGAAACCCCCCCCCCCCGCCCACCTCCTACGCATTTCCCATGAATATGCTAAATTCCTCTTGATATGCACATTCTTTTTGTTAAGGTGCTCTTCTTCCACCTCCAACCCAGCTTATATATAAGCTCCTAGCTTGGCAGTGTCTCATTCTTCACCTGAAGACGGCTGCTTGCGTTGTAGCCGAAACGTCGTGAGAATTATTTTATTTTATTATGTTTTATTTTTATTATTTTATTACTTCCTTTCTACGTGACTTTACCGAAAGAACCAAGAAGATGAATCCCTGCAGTCACGAAAGCTTTAAATCGAAATTCAAGGTGATAATAGTTTTTTTACCCTTCTATCTGGCAACAAAACTGACACCTTTTTACAAGGAGTCATGTTTACATAGACCACAATACCTGCGGTCGTAATGCAAACAAAAAACATAACTTTGATAATGTATGTGCACTGTCCTTGAAGTTGATTGCTCCACACCCGAGACAGCTTTCCTTAGAGCCTAGTCTCACATGGGTTGGACCAGATGACGCCAAAAGGCGCCTTTTAGCGTCATCTGGTCTGGTGACTGGGTGGCTGGGTGGGTGGTGACTGGGTGGGTGGTGACTGGGTGGGTGGTGACTGGGTGGGTGGGTGGCTGGGTGGGTGGGTGAGTGACTGGGTGGCAGGGTGGGTGGGTGACTGGGTGGGTGGGGACTGGGTGGGTGGGTGAGTGACTGGGTGGCTGGATGGGTGGGTGACTGGGTGGGTGGCTGGATGGGTGGGTGGGTGAGTGACTGGGTGGCTGGATGGGTGGGTGACTGGGTGGGTGGCTGGATGGGTGGGTGGCTGGGTGGGTGAATTGGTGGGTGGCTGGCTGGATGAGTGACTGTGTGGGTGGCTGGGTGGGTGGGTGGCTGGGTGGGTGGCTGGGTGGGTGGCTGGGTGGGTGGGTGGGTGGCTGGGTGGGTGACTGGGTGGGTGGCTGGGTGGGTGGGTGACTGGGTGGGTGGCTGGGTGGGTGGGTGACTGGGTGACTGGGTGGGTGACTGGGTGGGTGGGTGGCTGGGTGGTGCTAGTGAGTAATTGTATCGATTCCTCTCAGTCTAACCGGTACCACTCAGCTCAAAGTCGATCGGACAGTTATCTTTAAAATGTCCAATTTTATCTTAAATGCCACGGTTCACAGAGCACACAAAACAACGGCGTTGATGTCGCAGTGTAGAAATGTAATTTTTTTATACTTAGAAGTCAATGTCATGCCAATGTCGGATTTGATCATAGCCACGATTCAGTGTACAGTGTTGCATTGTCCTACTCCGTGTCAGGTTTGGTGTTAAACTTTACTCAGCGAGTTGCAGGCAGCAAGCAGTCTGCGTGGTGAACTACGAGGACATTCGAGGTGAAGCTAATGTCTAGAAGGAAATAAACGAAGAAAGTCGGCCCACTTTTTTATTTGTTTTATTATTGTGTGGTCAACGGATCACGACAAAGCCACCGCACAAAGCAAACAACGACAAGGCACGCGACAAGGCAGATGTGAGCAGCAACTCAAATGGTACAACCCATCCTCGGAGAAATATGACAACAGCCATGATATGCAAGAGGTGTAAAGTGAGAACTTGACTCGTGCCGATGGCTCTACACAATCCTTACACACACAGCCCACAGAGGTGTTGTCTGCACGGCAGATCTGCTGCATTGAACTTCAGCTGGGAGGTCAGCATAGAAGCTTCAGCTGGCAGTCTTGGTGAGGGTAGAGGCCTGGGCTGGATCCCTGCTCCTGCCCGCTCCCTCTGGTCCCCCCACTCACCCACCCACCCACCCACTCACCCACCCACCTACCCACTCACCTACCCACCTACCCACCCACTCACCCACCCACCTATCCACTCACCCACCCACCTACCTACTCACCCACCCACCTACCCACTCACCCACCCACCTATTCACCCAGCTACTTACCTACCTACTCACCCACCTATCTACTCACCCACTCACACACCTACTCACCCACCCACCTACCTACTCACCCACCCATCCACTCACTCACCCACCCACCTACTCACTGACCCACCTATCTACTCACCCACCCACCTACTCACCTACTTATCTACTCACCCAACCACCTACTCACCCACCCACCTATCTACTCATCCACTCA